TGCCGACCGCGTCCTAGGAACAAACCTATTTATAACTCTATTCAAAATTGAGCTAGAAACGTTTTTTTTTTTTGAAAAATAATCAGAATTTTAAAGACTATCTTTTTTGGTTAAGATTGTCCAAAAAACGATTGAACTTTTCAGGCTTGCTCGGAATTCAACCCCCAGAATGCTCTGCCAGCATCGATGAACCTCCAAGAGCAAGTTTTCGGTTTTGGATCGACTTTTCGGAATCAACACGTGGCGGCAAGTGTTCCGGAAGCTCCGAGATTTACGGATCTATCTGATGTCCAACCGGCTGGCTTGAACCATCTTCAAATGAATGTGTTTCAAAATTGGACCCCAGAATGTCCCTTCCAATTCAATCCATATGGGCAGTACTTGAACCAGGATCATTCACTCCCATCAAGTTCCACGACGCCAAGTTCCCCCGCTTCTACTTCAGGAACGACCATTCAGGATCCACCTGCTGAACTAGAAACTTCGACTTCAGAAACGACAATTCAGAAACCAGAAGGTCCACCAGTAGAAGAAATATTGGGAATGGCAGGATGTAGGAAGTCAAAAGTCGAAGCCCAGAAAAACGCAAAAAATTCCGGACTCCAAGACTCCTTTATCCCAAAATCGACTACCTGGAAACCATGGCAACGCCCTAGATTCAAATTCGGATCCAGAGGAATGAAATTTCTTCGATTGGAGAACTATCATTCGAAAGGCTTCAAATCCACTCAATTTTTTTCCGGACACTCTTCTTGGAATATGGAGATCACTCGTCGACGGCAAATAAAATAGCCGAGATTTTCAAAGGAGATTGGGTGTCGGCTAAAGAATGGAGGTGGACACTTCCGAAGAAGTATCATGTGGGCCAGCATGATATTCATACCGTGTTTGATATTTTAATGGGGGTGAGTATATAGTTTAGATTGAAGCCAGAAGTAGAGTTACTCTGTTAGAACGGCATCTTTTGAATGAGCTCAAAGTGCAAAAAGAACGTCATCTTAATTGTGGCAGATTTAGTTTTAAACTCGGTTTTAAACTCAACTATCTCGATTCCTACAAGAGATATCAAGATTTTGGCAACTAACAAAATATTGTTGATATTATGATAAACATTTTATCAGTTGGCAAATTTTTGATATCTCTTACAGAAGTTGAGATAACCGATTATAAAGGACACCAACTCTGGAGACGGGTCCCGTGTTTATGCACACTGTAGCACGCGACCCTAACAGTCAATTTTGAGCTAAATTATCTCTGCTCCTATAAAAGACATCAAATTTTGTCAACTGATAAAATGTGGGTTATTTTACGATAAACAATTTATCAGTTGACAGATGTTTGATACCTCTCACAAGAACCGAGATAATTGAGCTCAAAGACGGAGGTCGTTAAGGACCTCTAGCCATATTTAAGCTCACAGGGCTACAATTTCACTTTTTACAGTGTTATGAAGTGTGTTCTAAAAAATTCAAAAGTGTTAGTTTAGAATTGTTAAAGTGCATAGTCGCACAAAAGCCTAATTCATTTTTCTGGACATTCCTGTCATTGTCAGAGTCTTGATACACCTTAAAAGTATATTTTGAGTCCCGTGAGCTCCAAAATAGTTCGATATGTCTAAAAATTAGTGTTCTTGGTTTTTGACCTACTCAATTGATCCGCATTTACGAAAAAGTGTTACTTTTTTTGAAATGTTCAGAACACTCCACCTTTGGGAGACGAGGGTCTTATCCTCATGACGCACACTTTGGATCATCATCCGTACTTTGAGCTCAGTTATCTCGGTTCCTAAAAAATATATCAAAATTCTGTCAACTAACAAAATGTTCACCATAATATCAGTAACATTTTATCAGTTGACATAATTTTCAAATCTCTCAAAGGAACCAATATAATCATGGTCAAAAACACTCATTCGGCAGACATCTAGCTTTATGGCGCGAGCTTGTACTTTGAGCTCAATTATCTCGGCTCCTATAAAAGTTATTAAAAATCTGTAAACTAATTAAAGGTCGGTGATGCTATGGCAAACATTTTATCAGTTCACAGATTTTTGATATCTTTGACAGAGACCTAGATAACTGAACTCAAAGAGCAGTGTCTTTGTTTAGCTGGCTCAACGTTCAATATTAGAACATTGTCTTGGTCTAGAATATAGCCAAAACTATAATTCTTAGTTTATCTCAAACATTCTAATTTTCAGAATCTGGTCCTCGAAGTACCACTCGCAGGATCCCAACTCGACTCGGTCTCCTATATCCAAAAGGATTGCCAAGCCTGCCACCAGACTTCAAGAGAAAATGAGATTCATCACTTCTCTACGCGTCTGGTGATTCGAAACGGCCAATTCCAAAAGAGCCTCCAGGACACTTTCGCGGCCCCGAGGAAAATCTCAACTCCATGCCCAAGTTGTGAAGCGAAGGAAGTATTGAAAATGAGGGACATTGCCACTCAAAGTCCCTATCTCGTCTTTGGCTTCGATGCGACTCCGATTAAGGACCTGGATGAAGATTCAGAGGTTCAGATGTTTGGTTCCAAGTGGAAAATCAGATCGTTGGCGGAGCGGACTGGGGAGAAATCCTCTAGCGGTCATTATATGGCATGGGTCAGATCTGAGGAGGATAGATGGATCCGAGTTAATGATGATGCGATGGAAAAATTTGAAAAATTGAATTTGTCCCGCATCAATGTAAAAATGCTTGTTTTTGAGAGGATCTAATGAGTTTGTAAATAAATTATTACTTTTTTGTGTCATAAAACCTCAAAAAATGTTGTAAAGCAAATGATTTAACAAGAAAAAATAGTTTCAAAAAATTGAGTCAATTTGCAACAAAAATCAAGTTTCTAGCTCGATTTTGAAGAGAGTTATAGATCAGTTTGTCCCGGGGACTCGGTCGGCGGGAGGTGGTGAGCAGCGAGCGCGACAGGCGCCGCTCCCTTTCCTGTCGTGCACGTCGCTTACAACCTCCAGCCCACCGCGTCCCTTTGAACAAATTTGTCTAAAACTCTCTTCAAAATTAAGATAGAAAATTGATTTTTGTTGAAAAATGATTCAAATTTTTCAGGCTTTATTTCGATAGTTTAATTACATTGTAAACTAGATGAATGCCGAACTAGATTCAACTGAAAACTTCTGAAATTTTCAGACCCTATGGGCACTTTAATGGCAAATGGAATTTTTTCCCTAATTTTTCTCCTCCCTATAATTTTCATTTTTGAATAAGGCATAAAATAAAAAAGAAGATGCCGAGTGAACCTTCTCTCTGTTTCTCTGTTACCTCTCTTACTCTTCTAATGGCTCATCCCGGTTGCCATAGAAATTTCAACTTCACTCATCTTTCTTCTTTTTTCCTTTTTCCGCACTTCATTCAATTTTTGTTTAGACAAAATTTTTTGCAACAACTTTCTCGAATACCGTAAAACCTGTATTAGAAGGGGCCCCTATTCCATTCCAATCCTTCTCGATTACTGTGAAAGAAATCAAAAGGTCAACTACTAAACTTTTATCAGAATATTACAAACAGTTTATCAGTTGACATTCTTGGCATCTTGCATAGAAACCGAGAAAAATTGGCTCGAAGTTGACAAGTATTACGGTAATCATCGAAATTCGAACTCCCCAGAATGCCCCCCAACGACGATCTTTTTGTCTACGACCCAGCAAATCTTGACGATGACCAAGAGTATGAAGAGATGGAGCGAATTGTGGGTCAACTGATGATTCAACAAGTCAAAATGCAGAGAAAACGAAAGAGAGTTATCGCATCGATGGATGAGTTAGAAGCGTTGGAAATCAGAGCGCGGTATGAAACAATGCGGGAATATCATAGGAGAGTCAGAATTGGTGACACGATTACTCAGATTTTGGTGAGTTTAGCTTTAGTTTTTGTACATCTAGAAGTAGAAAAGCTTTAGAAAAGCTAGAGTTTTTAACTTTGTAGAGGTTTCATAAGGTTTCTCGGTTCCTATAAAAGATATCAAAAAGTGGTCAACTAATAAAATATTGCTCTTTTTATGATAAATATTTTGTCAATATACCACTTCTGAATATCTTTTTCAGAAAGCGAGATAATCGAAGTCGAAGTTGACAATGTCTGTGGGCTTTATGAGAAGAAATTCGGTAATTTCCTGTTTTATTAGGCAAAATTTTAAGGTCTATATCCGATGAACAAAAATGACTAGAAAAAAGATGTTTACTAATAACGTAGAATGTTAAAAACAAGAATTTGTTAATTGATACATTTTCCCTAGCACTGATGGTTTTAAGGTATTGTTGCTTTTAGAGATAAATGCGTTGCGACCGCTGTTGCTCGTTTCCTGTAAAAGGTATCGAAAAGTGGTCAACTAATAAAATAATTTTTGACATTATGATAAACATTTTATTAGTTGACAAATTTTTGATATCATTCACAGCGACCGAGACAAATAGCGTCAAACTAAACGTCCCTTATGTTCTGGGCTTCAACCATGAAAACACTTTAAGCGCTTTTATCCTACGAGAGACGCAAGTTATAAAAATTATGTTAATTTTTACATATATAACAGTTTATGAGCTACATTTTACTAGTTAACAACTTTTTGATAGCTATTCTAATCTTTGAGTTTTGTGCCTTACAAAAAACGACACTTCACAATTCTGGCAGCTTTTCAATTTTTAATAACTTTTAGCTTTCAAAGGAGGGCGGATATGAAAAAAAAAACAACCAATTTCTCAATTGTTTTTTATTCAAGCCTCTCGAGAAATTGAACTTGTAGGACTACCATTGGAGGTGCCGCGTTGATACCAGTTGAGCTACGGTAGTTGCGTCGCCGCGGACGCTGCAAGATAGTTTGTTTTTGAGTCAAGTTATCTCGGTTCCTATGAAAGATATTTAAAAGTTGTCAACTAATAAAATGTTTTTGATATTATGATGAACATTTTGTCAGTTGACTGGTTTTTGATATCTTTTACAGAACATGAGGTAAAATTGTTCAAAACTGGGATCCTTCTCTGTAACGACGATCGTCGGGAAATGAGTATGTATAGGCTTAAAGATAATGATTGAATAAGAGGGATTACGGTATTTCCGCTCCTAAAAATGTGTTTTTCAGTTCGCAATAATCTTCATCCTTCTAATGTCACTACTGCTTGAATTGGCCAACCCATTCATCTTAAAATACATTGAATCCGATGGCACCAAAACGAAAATCAACTCCGCTTTTTTTGGCATCACGATTTTTGCCCTTATTGCGACAGCACTTTTTATCAGGAACCAATACACAATGAAGTGAGTTTTGAAAACTTTATTTAATCAAAAAAGTTTTTAAAAATTTCAGAAAAGAGCTGGAAAGCAATGAGCTAGATCCGTGCAACGATGAAGCGGAATATGCATATAATTTGGAAAAAATTGAGCAGCTCAAATGGAAAATCAAGGATTCTGAAGGAGATAAATCGATTTTGGTAAGTCGGATTATTAAAATTTTAAATTTTAAATTTTTTTCAGAAAAAGGCCGCCATCATTCTTCTATCCAGCCGTATCCTCATGTTCCTTCAGCCCTATTTGCCAACATTTTTCGGTTAAACGGCCAATTTATTCTAATTGATTTGATTACTTTTCTAAATTTTTTCGAATTTTTCAAATTTTCCAAATTTCAAAATTTCAAAAGAAACATCCAAACTACAGTAACTGTTATTTTTCCGAAATGTGAATCTTGGAATTTCGAAATTCCCATTTGTATTCAAAATTTTCTATTCCACTCTATCCCCATATTTGTATTTTCCTCTCTCTCTTCCCCTTTTCCCAAATGTTATCTTTGTGTACATTCACCCTTTTTCCTACAATTACCATTTCCACATCTCTTTTAACATTCCTTTCGTCTTTTCTGATTCTTTGAATGTTCAAATAAAATGTTCAATTCACAAAAATGTGTTCCTATAATCCCTTAACTACAGTAATCCCATAGCTACCGTAATCCCCACATAACTACAGTAATCCGAAAAAGACTAAAAGAAGCATCGAGACGTTGAACTTGTGGGCCCACCGTTGGAGGTGTCGCGTTGCCACCAGCTGAGCTAGGATAGTTTGTCTTTAAGCCAATTTATCTCGGTTCCTGTGGAAGATATCAAAAAGTGGTCAACTAACAAAATATTGCTGATGTTGTGATGAATATTTTATTAGTTAACCACTTTTCGATATCTTTTACACGACATGAGGTACATGTGCTCAAAGATAACATATGTGAACACCGATCATTGCACATCGTGACGTGTCAGACTGCATACCCTCGTCCCGAAAAAATAAAAAATCACCGGAAAGTTTTATGTCCCTTATCCTTTTTCTTCAGCCATTCATATTTTCAACCATATTCCTCCAAAAGTATTGATTTTTTTTTAATGAGATAAAAATAAATTTTTTGTTTTTTCTTTTTGAATTGTTAATTACAATCGATAATCAAATTTATTAGCAATTACAGATAACACCAGGAAAAGTAAAAATTCCAATTTTCCGATTTTTTTCCAAATTAAAAAATTTTAATCAAGTCATAAAAAATTGGTTTGTGCACATCTAGATATTCGGATAAACAGATTTTGAACGATTTTTTGAAATTTTGAAAATTGATTGAAAAATTGCAAAAACCGCTTTTTGTATTCGTTGTATTTTTTATTACAAAAATAACACTTTTCGGAGTGAAAACAAACCATTTTTCTTGATGAGAAATCGTTTTTATGAGTCATCATAGTTTTTCGAAATGTTCCCAGTTTTTTTTTTCGTTTCATAGAAAATTTTGTGTTAATCGAAATATTTTTTTAATGGAGGAACCTTCCAATCAAACTCGAAATCTTCAGTTTTTTAGAAAATTCTCAATTTTTTAAACCAGAATTGTTATTTTCCCATACTTCCTTTGATCGTTTTATAAGATTTTTTTTTCGGTATTTTTCCCTCGAAGGAATAAATAATTCCAGAATGAATAATCCAAGAAGAAATGAACAAAATCGAGATGACGATTTGGCTAAAAGTCTAATAAAAAAGTACAGTATCCTTCAGCAACAGGCACATATTTGGGTGCGAAATGGTTTTTTTTTGAGAAAAAAATTTAGAAATTTTGAAATTCAGAAATTCAGAAACACATTTTTTCAGACCAGAGTCTCCAATTTTCTTCTCTACATTGCCCTCTGTTATGTTTTCTTTAGCGACTTCCCGTTCGTTTATAACCGATTTGTCTCGTTCCTGGTGGTAGTGCTTGTTTCAATTTTCATCAAGGAATATGCCTATTTGTAAGCTTCTCTTCATTTTTAAATGGCTTCGGTTGCCGTACCGCATACGCCGCTATAAAAACACTTGTATTTCAAACTTAATTATCTCGATTCCTAGGAGAGATATCCAATTTTGTCAACTGATAAGATGATTTTCATAAAACAGCCAATATTTTATCAATTGACAAATTTTTCATATCTTCTACAGGAATCCAGATAACTCGGCTCCAAATGAATTGACAAGAGGGCATGTTATGATGTGTGCCTTCTGCATGAGTACTCTTTGAGCTCAATTGTCTCGATTCTTGTGACAGATATCAAAAATTGGTCAACTAATAAAATGTTTCTCATAATACAGTCAACATTTTTAGTTTGAAAATGTTTAATGTTTCTTACAGAGACCGAGATAAATCGGCTTAAAGTTGGCTGTTTGGGGGGCATGCTGCAATGTGTCATAAAAAGCCTCTGGAACGACTGTTCTTTAAGCTCGATTTTATCGATTAGTGTAAGAGATATCAAAAATGGGTTAACCTCAACAGTGTTATTGATATTATGACAAACAATTGATTAGTTGACAGACTTTTGATACCTCTAACAGGAATTGAGATAATTGAGCTCCAAGTTAGGGTACTTCTACCACCCTCGCTCTCCAAGAGAGACACAGAGAAGTTAGAGAGTCTCGTTACTCTGCGGCTCTTAAGCGATCTAGCATTTATAATAAAGTGAAAAAGCATTAATTTTAAAAAGTTTGTAAGTAAAAATATTGAAAACCGCTTCAGATGGAAACTGGAATCTCAAGAAGGCGTTGAATATGAAGAGGATGAGCAGCCGGAAGAAGAAAACTTCCCAGATCATATGGAGAAGAAGATCGAAGAAAAATTGAAAAGTGTGGAGAAAGCGGTAAGAACAATTATTTCAAAATTTCAGAATAAGAAAGTTTAGAAGAAAAAAACCTGGTTTTTCATATTACAATTTTCAAAAAATCCGAAAAAATCCAAAAAAAATTTGAGTGTCGTTTTTCAGAAACGCAAATCAATGATTCTTTTCATCGTGGATATATATTACATGTACTATATGGCTGGTTGATTTCAAAAATTATATGGAAGTAAAACCAATTCATGATTTTCTCAAATGTTTGATTTTTTTTAAACTGTGCATCCTCAATTTTTAGAACGTCCCTATCAAATTTCTCAATAATTCTAATTTTCAAATATTTTCCATTTTTATAACAGTCACTTTCTTACCTAAGAATGCGTTTTTTTCTTGTTTGGACTGTAAGAAACGCAGAGAAACAAGACGACTCTTGCTTCTCTGCGTCTCTCCAGGGCCGTAGAAGGACTTTAGCTTTGAGTCAATTTATCTCGGTCCCTGTAGAAGATATCAAAAAATGTTCAACTAACAAAATAATGCTCATTTCATGATGTACATTTTGTTAGTTGACAAATTTTAGTTATCTTTCACAGAAATTGAGATAAATCGATTCAAAGTTAGGGGTCGTTTTATGATTGTCTGCATCTCCGTTTTATCGTTTTTTGTGCCTTTTTTTGTGAAACTTCAAATCAATAAACTATATTATTTTTCTTCAGAAACTAATGACTTCTTAGAAACCACATGATTTTCTGGGCCTCAAATCTCTCTGCGCATAATTATAGGGTACAGAATCATCAGGATGTTTACGCTACCCAGTTGCCATGGAGAACTATCAAAGAACTTTTGATAGGAAAGGTGCTTTACTTTTTCTTGCATTTTTCAAATTTGAGTTTTTCAGAATGCCGAGAAAAATTGCTCGTCGAAACGCAAGAGCGGAACAGAATAATTTGATGAAAGCGCTGGCAAAGAATCTAAAAGCTGCAGAAATTAGAGCCGATCTTTGGGTAATTATGTATCGCTTCCTGTAAAAGATAGTAAAAATTGTCAACTGACAAAATGTTTATCATAATCTCAAAAACATTTTATCAGTTGACAGCTTTTAGTATCTCTTACAGGAGCCAAGATAAATTGGCTCAAAGTTATCGACCCTCGAGAGACGCAGACAAATTAGAGTGTCTCGTTTCTCTGCGTCTCTTCGTTGCAAGTTTTTTGTTGTTCCAGGAATTCAACTCTCTCTTCATGGGATGTTTAGTCTCCTCAACTTCGATTTCCGATTTGAATTCTCTACACAATCCACCGTGCATTTGGACATATCGTGGTTACAATTTCAATCATTTCTTTTATTATTGTTTATGGGGGATATTGCTCATCTGGCCATGCACGGTTTTTCAATTGTGCACTGATTTGTAAGGCAGATTTTATTCAAAATTTTTGCATTAGACAATTTCAGAGAGGTGAATGAGAACTGCAAACACCCTGAAGCACAAGAGTACAGTGTCCAAAACGTGAGAAGGATCCGAAGCAAAATCAGAGTATTGCATACAATTATAAAACTAAAGGTAAGAAAATTCCTCAGTCAAATTTAGCCTGAAATATCTAGATTTCTGTGAAAGATATCAAAAAGTAGGAAAATATTGAAATAATTATCATAATGTCATAAATAATTTTATCAATTGACAACTTTTTGATATCCTTTACAGGAGCCGAGATAAATCGGGTCAAAGTTAGGGTTATTATTAAACCCTCCAGCTCCAGAAGAGAAGCCGAGAAGTTAGAGGTTCTGGTTTCTCTGCGTCTTTTACAAGGGAATGTGGTTCAGGAAGCTCTTCAGAATTTTTTCCTAAATTGCTTCATTATAAAATTGAGGACAATTCATTAGTTGTCAATTTTTTTTTAATAACTCCAACAGGAAACGAGATAATTGAGTTCAAAGGGAGGATCGTTTTAGGGAGTTTCACATTTTTTGAAAAAGTTTGCAAAAAAAAATAAATTCTCCACCGAAAAATCTACGTGAATTGTGTCCCATTGACCTCAGGAGGAATACTGTAAAGGAAGATCAAATCAGTTCTCCCTGCTCTGCGCTCCAGAGAGGTCCTGGGTCCTGGGTCCTGGGTCCTGGGTCCTGTAATGAAGCAATTTAGGAAAAAATTCTGAAGAGCTTCCTGAACCACATTCCCTTGTAAGAAACGCAGAGAAACGAGAACCTCTAACTTCTCTGCGTCTCTTTTGGAGCGGGAGGGTTTATTCAACGAGTGTTGCAGGATTCGATTTTATAAATGGGCCAGTTTAGTGAAAAATAGCTTTCTGAACGACATTCCCTTGTTAGCCCAAACGAACATTGAGATTTTTTTCATTTTACAGATCAAATTCTTCATTGGATACTTCTTGCTCTTCGTTAGTTTCAGTATTCCTAGCTTTATATTTTTCACACTGAGAATGGGATATGACAAATGTGCCAAGCAGGAATAATTTCGACTAATCAGTCTACCTTTTAATTATTTCCATTATCTAATTATTTGTGTTTTTACCATTTTTATGATAGTCTCTATACACCCTATACTTGCACTTTACGCTTTATTATCTCGGTTCCTTCGAGAGATATCAAAAAATGATCAACTAAAGAAATGTTTATCATAATATCAACAACATTTTATCAGTTAATCTCTTTTTGATATCTTTTTGATATCTTTTCTAGGAACCGAGATAATTGGGCCTAAATCTTCCCACTCATTTTTCCATTCCCTCTGTATTGGATCTCTCTATTGATCCCTAATTTTCAGTCCCTATTTTTTCAATAAATAAAAACATAAAACATACAATTTGTGTTTTTCTTGGCAGGCAGAAGATGTTCCCAAAACCCCATAAATCTCTTGCGTCTCCTTTCACTAATTATAGAGAGAGCCAAATTTTGACATTTTTCGTCATTCGGTTGCTTAGTTTCAATGCCTCGGAAACTCTAGTTGCCGGAAGCAGAAGCGAAGCATTGTCAGAATGCCCAGAAGAATCAGACGACACAATCATATTGTTCCAAGGGAAGAGGAGGAGGAGAATCCACTAATGAAGGCGTTGGCAAGAGATCAAAGTGCGGCGGAAATCAGAGAGAACATATGGGTAGATCAAAACCTTTGAAGAAAAATTCAAATTGAATATATGATTTTTGTGGTCCCACCACGAAAAAGTTAAAAGAAGCATAACTCGTTGTAGATCTAGGCTGTGAAGGAGTGGGCGCAACTCGGCCGCCGCAAGTGACCCCGCCTTTGAAAACTCATAACTCAGTTCAAACTTGAAACTTTTATTTCGTTCAAAAAATAAAATATAGATCTTGACAAGATCTTCATTATCAGATTAAATTAAACGTGTTTCTATTTCCGAGTTTTGAACCAGAGACCGCCATTGCTACCCAGGCCGATTTAGTCACCCTGGCTTTTTTACGGTCCCCGGCTCGAAACTCGAAACCTTCAGTTAGTCAAATTTAATATCATTTTGTAGAACTTTGTAATTTCTACATTTTGCTTTTTTATTTACATCGAAATTCCAAGTTTGAGCCGAGTTATGCAATAAAAACAGGGGCGAGGTCATTGACGGGCAGGTAACGGCTCGTGGGGTGTCTTAACTTCGACCCTAACTATCTCGGTTGCTAGTGAAGATATCAAAAAATTACAAGCCAACAAAATATCGATCGTAATATCAGAAATATTTTATTAATTTACTACTTTTTGATATCTATTATAGGAACCGAGATAAACTGGCTGAAAGTTGAAAGGGTGTAATTCTACCACTGTCGAGTTTATGGTCATTTTGCAACTATCTTTCTCTAGAATCCCGCTATCTTCCTACAAATTAAAATTTTCAGAAAACAAACACCCATTATGGGTGTGGAATATTCTTCGCTGCCAACTTCTACAACCTCACCGCCTACTGCTTCCCTCCCTGCCTTCATAAAGCTGGCGAAGCATTCACTCGAACGTTTTTCTCGCTGGTTTTTGCGATTTTGACAATTTGGATTCGTCATGTGAAAAATGGATATGATCATTTGTGAGTCTGATATTTTGAATTTTTTTTTTGAAATTTTGAATTTAGGCGGGAAATCGATGTTTGTAACTGTGACTCATGTAAAGGGCAGCCGTACAGTGTCAAAACTGTGGAGCAGATACAGTGGAAAATTGAAAAGGCGAATTCTGCTGTGAAAAGAATGGTCAGCATTTTCAAACACTAATAATGGCTACTGTACCCATTCACAGTAGCGTTTACAGTAATCGTAGCAACCGCGTAGCTTAGTGGAAGATAGTCAATTTTAGAGCCCTGAAAAAATAATCCAAAATTTTTCGATTTGTCTGAAAATTTCAGAGCATACTAAACAAAACTAGAGAGACTCACTTTAAAGGCTCATACCTCAAAAACTAAAAAAGCTACAAAAAGTGGTCAATCACAAAAATGAAGCTCTATTTTTGTTTAGTATTCTCTGGGATTTTCAGAAAAATCGAAAATTTCTGAACTATTTTTTCTTGTAGAGGCTTTAAAATTGACCTTTTTCAAAACAATTTTTTTCAGAAAAAATATTTCGTCACCGGTTTTATATTCTTTTTGGTCTTCGTCATTCCCGGATACTTTATATTCTCATCGAATATTATATACGATCAGTGTGCGAATCAGGACGCTGTGAAATTTATATGATGCGGTCTTTATCAATACATTTTATCAATAAATTTATTCAAAACTCAAATATTAAAAGTAACCGTATTCGGTGGGCTCAACTTCAGCGATTTGCTCAACAAATCTCGCGTTTCATTGAATTGCTTCCTCGAAGATACTGTACTGCTACTACTGTAGAATCGATCGATCGATAATGTGTAGCTAGATGACGTGGCGCTTTGATGGATGTTGATTTCTTCGTGTTCCGAAGAGACTGGTGGAGGTGTTGAGAGAGGTAACGGAGGTGGTGGAGGCGATGGAGTACGGTGGCGCGTGGCTGGAATTGGAGGTGGCGGAGGAGGAGGGACTACTGTTGATTGGGGTACTGCAGACGGTCCCGGTGGAGAGGGGTGATACTCAGGGAGGATCATCGCGGGGACAGCGAGGACCAATCTGAAATTAAAATTTTGCAATCTAGCCCGATTTGGTCTAGGAAGCTTCTCACTTTAACTCTATTTATCTCTGTCCCTGTTAGAGGTATCAAAAAGTTTTGGCTCTTTATGATTTAACGGGGGTTTAAACAATTAACGGGGGTTTAAAATATTAAGGGGGGGGGGGGGTTTAAATTTTTGACGGGGGTTTAACAAAAAATTTGAAAAATAAACGGGGGTTTTGAAAATTTGAAGGGGTTTTGAGAATTAACGGGGGTTTAAATATTAAACGGGGGTTTTCAGAAGGTGTCAGAGTCATGGTTGGGAAAGTCCCCAAAATGTTCCAAAGTGCTACAGTTTCTTGTTTTTTGCTCATTTCAGTTGATTTATTTTTTTCTGAAATCATTTTCTTGTTTTTTTTTCTTTTTTTTCATTTCTAAAGTTTCATGGCACTGTTCTAGAATTACGGAACGAAAAAAAACTTTATCCAAGTCTATCATCTAACCTTGGAAGCAGGTACAGGAGGCTTTGAAAAGGAGGGACTATCAAATAGTTGTTCTTAGAGAGGTTGAATGGTGTTGGCGAGTCAAGTGATCCGGGAAAGCGGTACATTTGTATTTTGGATTCGAGGTTAGAACTAGCAGAGTTATGTAACTTGCCGCCAATTTTCCGATGACTTAGATGAAGGAAATATGGCGTTTCAGCCTAAGCCTATAATCTACGAAGGTTTCCTAGTGTCAAAATTTTCCTACCCATTTTTTTATGTGGTTTTCATTCGTTCCGCAATTCTAGAAAAGTGCCATGAAACTTTAGAAATGAAAAAAGAAAAAAACAAGAAAATGATTTCAGAAAAAAATAAATCCACTGAAATGAGCAAAAAACAAGAAACTGTAGCACTTTGGAACATTTTGGGGACTTTCCCAACCATGACTCTGACACCTTCTGAAAACCCCCGTTTTATATTTAAACCCCATTTAATTCCCAAAACCATACTTGTAAAATTCCGGGTCGGGCCGGGCCTGAGGAAACTTTCAAGGCCCGGGCCCGGCCCGGAAGGCCCGGTCTGTCTGATCAAAAAAGATCGAAAAACTCGGAAAAAAATTTTTTGGTCGAAAAAAATCAAGAAAATCATAAGGGTCTCCCCTTATGTGTTTTTTGAAAATTTCGAAACTAGTGAAATGACGGGCCGGGCCGGGCCTCCGAAATTCCGGAAAAAGCCCGGCCCGTTACAAGTATGCCCATAACCCCTTCAAATATTCAAAACCCCCGTTAATATTTTAAACCCCCGTTAATTGTTTAAACCCCCGTTAAATCATAAAGAGCCAAAGTTTTTAACTGATAAAATATTTTTGATAACCAAATAAACATTTTGTCAATTGACCACTTATTCAAATCTCTCACAGAAGTCGAGATAAATGGGCTCAAGTTGAGTGACCTTTCCAGAGATAGCGACCGAGACGTCCCCTAACTTTAACTTTGACCCATTTTATCTCGGTTCCTGAGATTGTTATCAAAGAATGGTCAACTAACGAAAGATTGATCACTTTACGATAAACGTTTTATCAGTTGACTACTTTTTGACATCTGTCCCAGGAGCCGAGATAAATTGGGTCAAAGTTAGCGCCACCTCTGGCAACCGATGGCGAGGGCGCTACCCTCGCTCTCTATGAGAGACGCAGACAAGTTATAACGTTTCGTTTCTCTGCGCCTCTCAGTCCAAGATTCAAAACTTACTGCTCATCAATTTTGGGTCTAGAAAACGTCTCTCGAATTTCGGGTGTCATCGAGGAGCTAGAAATCGTGGAAAATCCGTTGAACGTCATTTGAGGTTTGATTCTTCGAAGGACCAGAATATTGGAATTGCCACCGTAGTCATAGGATTGAAGTTGATCCTAAAATTAAGTACTCAGGGAATTTTGGGCAAGCAAACGGCAAGTTGCGAGCCATTTGGCAAGTTGCTGGACAAATTAGCAAGTTGCTAGTGCTTGCTGACCTTGTTCGAGGAGGGTCGTACATCAGCAAGTTGCCGCATGCATGAAACTTGCTTGCCGTTGCTTGCCGTGAAAAAAGCAAGTTGCTGTTCTCTTGTTGCGTTCAGATGGCATTCAAACGGCAACTTGCTCTATAAAATAGCAAGTTGCTGACCCGAAAAAACGGCTTGCCGTTTGTCAGCGGCAAGCAAAATTTTCGGGTTAGCAACTTGCCGAAAAATTCCCTGAGTATATTCCCTGAGTATTTACATTTTTCGGGTTTTGAAAATTTGAAAATCAAACGGATTGGTAAATTTTTTTTCATTCCCACCTTCAATTTCACGAAAAAAGCCTAAATCAAACTTCACCCCCGACACTTAAACTTTAAGCTCAAATATCTCAGTTCCTATAAGAGATATCAAAAAGCTGTCAAATGATAAAATATTAGTGATATTATGAAAAACATTTTATCAATGGATACTTTTTTGATATCTTTCACAGGAACCAAGATAAATGAGCTGCAAGTTAAAAACCTCCCTACCTGAATCTTCTTCGCCACCACAATGGGACTTCGATTATTCTGGAACACCATACTCAAATCCTCCATCGACAACATGTTCCATACTGTACTATTTGCAACAATCAGTCCTTCGATTCGTTCGGATAGCTCTATGTTTTTATAAGAATGCGTTGGTAGGACAACAGGAAACGTTGAAAAATGACCGATTTGTCTAGAGGTGCCAATCACTCCGTTGATTCGATTCTCCTCATCCACGAATCCATGAGCTTCGCGGATTCTCGAGTATTCGTCATCATCGATTTCGTATTTTCCGTTTACGCTGAAAATTTGAAAAGTATATAAAAGTTTGAAACAATTTGCAAAAAAGGAGACTTACATAGTTTTCAATTTCTGGTGCCGGGCAACAGCGGCACTCATGGTTCCAGTCGATGCTAACTCAATGTGTTTCTCGTGTAGACGAATTATCATGACACCTAAATTTTTGAATTGAAATTTAAAACTTTTTATTATTTTTCGATGGATCGAATCAAGATACAGTACTTTGAAGTCTCAATTAGAACGCCAACATTACACAGCTTCAAGCTCAATTCTTCAAGCTCAGATATCTCGGTTCATATAAGAGATATCAAAAAGCTGTCAACGAATAAAACGTTTCTTATAAAATGGACAATATTTTTTAATTATCACATTTTTGATATCTCTGATAGGAACCGAGATAATTGAGATCAAAGTTTTTATGCGCGTTTCATGAATGCTGTGTTTTTGTTCCTAATTATCTCGGTTCATATAAGATTTATCAAAGTTAAGTTAACTAACACAATATTTGTCATCAAATGAGCAATATTTGATCAATTGAACACTTTTTGATACCTTTTTCAGGGACCGAGATAATTGAGGTCAAAAGAGCGGCGCCCGGCGTTCTCCTGCCGATCGCCGACCCGTGTGACAAGCTGGCGCATAAATCAGCTTAGGCTCATAATTTTCGCACGATTTTTATATCAAAATGTAGAACTCAACAAGATCCACAAAGTGATATTAAATTTGACTACATAAAAATTCCGAGTTTCAAGCTAGAGTTTGTGAAACAAGTAGACACTGTTAGGATCAATTTTGCGCACTCGTATTTTTGGCAATCCCTGGCTCAAAAATCAGCCTTTAAGTATAGCCAAATTTTATATCACTTTGTAGATCTTGTCAAGTTCTACACTGTAATATTTAATTTGGACAAACAATTCAAGCTTGCGCAAAGTTATGAGCCTTTAAACAATGGAAGAAATATGGTTAGCGCAGTAAAGCAAGAATGCCTGCTTCTGTGTGTCTTTCTGCACTCAATATAGTTGAATTTAGTGTTGTCTTGTAGATTTTTTAAGTGCTACCATTTACTTTTTGATTCAAACAAAAATTCCAAATTTGAGTCGAGCTATGCGCTTTTAACGATAGCTAGCCTAGAGAACGCAAAGAAACGAGAGTTCCTGCTTCCCTGTGTCTCACCCTTATACTCACTTGCTCCTAATCGTTCTCCCTCTTCTCCAAGCTCACAATGGCACCTAAGAAGTATGGATCGAATATCAGATGATGGCTGAAAAAATCTATATTACAGATTTCTATTTTGAAAACTTGCTCATACATTATCTCTCAAATACGATGTTAAAAATCTGCATATAGAACTAGCCATATAGGAATTCGATCCGCCATCAATGAAGCCAAATGTGTTCTCGACACGAACCTGACGAATGCACTGTCTGAAATTCGATGGCCTAACTTTTGTGGCCTAGAAAACCAAAAACTCACTTATTCTTCATTCCTCTGGATCCGGAAACTCCGATTTGGAAACCAAAAAGATTATGAGGCTCTTCGGAGATATTGATTGTGTTCATTTTAGTGTGCATATCAGAATTTTCGGGAAAATTCTCCGTGTCGAAGTCTCCAGAATTACAGGTGACGTCAAAATGGCGAAGATTGGGTGGCGCTTTGAATTGAAGGGTTCCCAGCGAGATGTTGTTTGAAGATAGGTCGATTGTCTGGAAACAACACATTTTGTATTAGAGACGCAGAGAAAAAAGAGCGTCTGCTTGTCTGCGTCTCCCTCACAGATCGAACATTTTCAAGGCTTCATATCTCGGTTGCTATAAAAGCTATTAAAAAGTTGTTAACTAAAAAAATGTGTAAAACTTTATAAGCTGTTTTATGCTCTTTACGAAATTGTTCTAACTCTAAACATTCCTAAAATACAGACGTTTGAATTTAAAGACTCACATGTAACTGCCCAGCTCCTTGTAACTCTGGCACATGAACCAGTTGATTTGAATGAGCACGGAGCACTTGTAGACAAGGCAATAGTGCCAAACAATCGGCAAGTCTTGTCAACCGGTTTGAGCTCAAATTGAGGTCCTCCAAGAGTTCCAAAGAGCTCAAAGCACTATCGTCAAAGGAGTTGAGCCGGTTGTGACTGAGATCTATTGTTTTCAAATGCTTCATGTTGACGATGACAGGAACGCTATTCTCGGTTAGGTAGTTGTTGGCAGCGCGAAGAATCTGAAAGTTGGGAAATTTCAAAATTTGTGGTATTTGAAAAACCGCCGTTGAGCTAAGCAGTCGCAAACCGGACCTGACGGCGTGGGCAAACCGGACCTGACGGCTAACTTAGACACAAATTATCAAGGTTCCTGTAAGAGGTATCAAAAAATGATAAACTAGTAAAACGTTTATCATAAGACAATCAACATTTCGTTTGTTAAACATTTTTGATATCTCTTACAAGGACCGAGATAAGTAGAGTCAAAGTTTTCGCCCCGGCAGCCGGCGGCCGGTTCGCCTGAGTCAACCCTACCCGACCGGTTGACTTTGCTTATCTCGCTTCCTGTACGAGGTATCAAAAAAAGGCCAACTAACTAAAAACTGTTCATTTTACGATTAATATTTTGTCAGTTGACCACTTTTTGATATCTCTTCCTTGAAACAAGATAACCTTATTACTAACCTGCAATCTACAAAACGATGACCCGTCGAAATAAGGCAGCAGTTCGATGAAATTTGAGGATATGTTCAGTTGGCGCAACCTGGAAAAATATTGAAAAAAACTTAATTAGTGTTAATTACTCTCATAATTACCTTGGCAGCACACTAAAAAAGTGTTTGGGCAGATGGGAAATTTTGTTTTTGTATAGGATCAATGTTTCCAAACAGTTTTCCTCACCAAAGTCAGGAAGATTCTCGATTTCGTTGACGAAGGCAAAGATGGAACGGAGGGATGGGGAGAAGAAGATTCTGGAAAAAAAAAATATTCAGAAAAATTAGATAGTAGGGGGATCAAGGAGAGGGGTAGAGAAGGCAGACTGTGAAAACAAACGTTTTTCTAAAACTTGTTACATCTCAAAAACCAAAAATGCTACGGAAAGAAACTACAAAAATGAAAAGCTTTAAATTTTACACATTTAATTAATTGAAAATTTTTAGTTAGCTCTTCTAGCAATCGAGATATAAGGCTTTGAAGTTTGGCAAAGAGACGCAGACAACGAGACGCTCTCGTTTCTCTGCGTCTCCCCCTCTCTGTATTCTTACCTCTCCGGCAACGCCACCAATCCGTTATTATTCGCTCTTAAAAAAGTCAAATTTGGGCAGTCCGAAATCCAATCTGGCAGATTTTGAAAATGATTAAATGATAAGGATAACGTTTGTAGGTTCTGCGGAAGTGGCATGACTACCAAGGAGTCGAGTACTGGAAAAAAGATTACTGTAGATTCCTAATTAAAAAACAAAAATTACAATTATGGTCCGCATAGACGTGTGTAAGACTTTCGCCGCTGAGATGAAGGCTGGTGAGTTGAAGACGTTCGCAATGGATCACCTAAAATTGTTTGTAGTCTTCGTAGTCTTTGTAGTCTAGCTCACCTTCAAAAACCTCAAATTCGTCAAATGCACAGTTGACACCATTGAATTATCTCTGAGATCCAAATGTGTTATATTCTCAATGTCCAATCGAAAGGAGGTGCCGAGCACATTTCTTCGTAAATCGATTTTTTGAATTTTTAGATCACCAACTCGCTGGATTTTCTCTATATTGTTTCCAGCCAACCTCCACATTTCCAGAGAGAGATGGAATAGACAAGGAGAGATCTGGAAAAAACGCATTGTACACTAGAGGCGCAGAGAAACGAGAGCGTCTGCTTGTCTGCGTCTCTCTGTCAGGTCACCTATCTCCAAAGCTTTATATCTCTGTTGCTTTGAGAGCTATCAAAAAGTAGTCAATTAAAGAAATGTGTAAAATTTCGAGCTTATCAATTTTGGGTTTAACAGTTCTTCCGTAGCAATCTTAGTTTTTGAGATATAGCAAGTTTTAGGATGATGTGCTCTGCGCCTCCCACACAGGCCGCCCATTTTCATAACTCATTTTCTATCAGAGCTATCAAAAAGTTATAAACTAACAAAATGTATACAGCTTTAAAAGTTAAATTATACTGCAAGCTAAATTTTCTTGCTTCAAAACTGGGTAAGATACAAGCGTTAGAACTTAAAAGAGTAAGGAAACACCATCAACTGAATATCTCTCGGCTCTCTTTCTTTACAAGCTTATATCTCGAAAGATAGAGTCGGTATCAAAAAAGTATTAACAACAAAAAAATTTTTCTAGAAATTTTACACATTTTCATATTTTACATATTTTTAAAAGTTAAATGGTTTATGAGATATGCACCTTTAAAGTTACGCCCAACAATAAGAAACGCAGACAACAAGAGCCACTTCAAAGGGGCATATCTGATAGTGGAGCAGAGTTATCAAAAAGTATTCAACTAACAAAATATGCACAATTTTGAAGAAAATAGTTTTGTAGTTGGCAATTTTTGATAGCTTTGATAGCTACCGAGATATGGATGCTAGAAAAGACTAGAAAATTCCAGCTCTTCCACAAAAAGTCTCACCTGTGAAAACTGATTGAAGCTAATATCCAAACTTTGCAAATTCTGTAGCTCACTAATCGAGTCGGGTAGACTATCTAATTGATTATTCGATAAATTGAGATACTGTAGTCGTCGCATGTTTGAGCATTCGTTTGGCACCGAAGAAATATAATTTGAGGATAAGTTAAGTTGACGGAGATGGGATAATAAAGTGAGCTGGATTGGAAAGGAGAGGATTTGATTGGCAGATAGATCAATGACTTGGAGGGAATGTACACGGTAGAGATCATCAATGTAGCCAAGGGGAGCAAGGGACTGGAATTGATTAAAATGTGAATTATTTTCCAACAAAAATCAAGTTTCTAGCTCAATTTTGAAGAGAGTTATTGGTTAAGTTATTCACGGTCGGCTGTAGGACGCGGTCGGCAGCAGGGCGCGCGCGCGCCAACCACCACCTCTTGCCGACTGCGCCCTCGGAACAATTTGATCTATAACTCTCTTCAAAATTGAGCTAGAAACTTTATTTTTGTTGCAAGATAAAGATAATTTTTAGACTTTGTTCTACTGATTTAAACTTTACCTTTTCCGTAGGCGGTCTGCTTATCAATGAGTTCCGCCTCAAATTCAGAATCTGAATCCGCGCTTCATTATTCAGAATCTGTTCTGGTATTAGTGTTAATTGCTCATCACTTGCGTCCACATGATTGCTTTTCTCCACTTGTTGGGCTCTCGAAAACCACGCTTCCAGAATATTCGGTCGTTGAAAAATGATCAAAAAACAGTTATCGTCGTCTTTGAGTCGTAGGGACCGCCCTTTTTTTGACTCATAAATGTCCACCTTCATATTCCGGATTTGAAGAGCTTCGTCTTGATTGTTTTCTGAAAAAAAATCACATTAGAAGCGCATGGGAGTGAGAGACGCAAAGAAGTGAGCGCGCCTGTTTGCCTCCCTCGTTTATCTTCAAAGCTCCATATCTCGATCGCTATGAGAGCTATCGAAAAGATGTCAACTAAAGAAATGTGTAAAATTTTACAAGCTACATTTTAACAGTTAACAAAATGTTTTTAACTTTAAACTGGAAAAGATACAAGCGTTTGAATTTGAGAGGGCAGGGAAGAGAGAGCTTGTCGAGAGCTTTTGTTCAAGACTCTATATCTCGGTTGCTATAAGAGCTATTAAAAAGTTATCAACTAAAGAAACGTGTACAATGTTGAGCTAATTAATTCTGTAGTAGACTATTCTCCAGTAGCGATTTTAGTTTTTGAGATACAGTACTGGCCAAAAAGGTATTCGCAAACGGTTTTTTGAGAGTAACTTTGCTGAAACTTAAGGGATCGATCTGAAAATTTTACTGTGCATGTCGTACACGGTGACGACAAATTGCGTACAAGGAAATTGCATCATTTTCAGAAATTTTTTGTTTTTTTCAATTTTTTCAATTTTTTCGTTTTTTCACTTTTTTCATATTTTTATATTTTTGGATATTATGGTTTCTAAGAATGTTGGTTTTGGCTCCTATGTATTTAAAACTGTTTACAGACATGGCCAAACCCCTCGGAAAAAAAAAACATCTCTCAGGACATCCGTAAAGCCATCGTCATCGGCTTCAGAAGTGGATGTTCCAAGGACCTCTTGGCGCAGCAGTTCAATGTTACTAAACGTGCCATCGAGAAGATCTTGAAGCAGTTTCGGGATGAGGTAATATTCGAAAATAGTATAGTTATGGAAAAAAAATGTTTAGGGAGCCTTGGTGGAGCGAAAATCGCCTGGAAGACCGCGTATCACGTCGAAGAACATGGATCGGAACATCGTCCGAGTTTCAAGAGAGGATCCCCAGAGGAGTTCTACGAACATTCAGATGGTCGTGAAGACACCAAATGAAGTCACACCATCCCTGAGAACCGTCAGAAGACGTATTCAAGATGCTGGACTCCATGGACGACGGCCAGCTAAGAAACCATCGATCAGCAAGAAGAACAGAATCGCCCGCGTAGCATGGGCCAGAGCTCATCTCCACTGGGGACGTCAGGATTGGGCTAATCACGTGTTCAGCGACGAATCCAAGTTCAATCTGTTCGGTACTGACGGTATCAAGTGGATTCGCCGTCCGGTTGGATGTCGGTTCGATCCCAGCTACCAGCTCCAAACCGTCAAGCATGGAGGTGGATCGGTGATGGTCTGGGGCTGCTTCTCTGGGACTTCAATCGGCCCGCTGAGAAGAATTACAAGCATCATGGATCGCTTTGTGTATGAAGACATCTTGGAGAACACAATGAGACCCTGGGCAAGGTCTACTGTGGGCCGGGCGTTCGTTTTCCAACAGGATAACGACCCGAAGCACACCTCGAAGCACATCAAGGAGTGGTTCCGACGCCGCCACGTGGATCTTCTGGACTGGCCAAGTCAATCTCCGGACTTGAATCCGATCGAACACCTCTGGGAGCATGTCGAGAGACAGCTTAGAGGGGTTCGTGCCTCGAATGCCAACTAGAAGTTCGACCAACTCCAAGATGTCTGGCAGGCCATCCCGATGTCTGTCATCGACACCCTTCTCGACTCGATGCCAAGAAGATGTCAAACGGTAATCGACGCCAAAGGCTTCCCAACGAAGTACTAAAGCTATTTTATTCATTTTCTATTATTATTTTTCGTTTACCGGTCTATCCTAGATCTCAGAACTCAAAGTTCCATTTACCGGTTTTTTGCAATTTTCATGAATTTTTCGATTTTTTTTCAATTTTTTGAAATTTTGACTATTCTTGTTGTTGAATCAGGGGTTTTCTACGCTTCTGAGATTTGTAGTCTAATATGCATGGGCGACCCGTCAGGGTGCAGCAGACTAGCTATCCGCTAATCGGTTCTGTGAATCCTTTAGTGGCCAGTACTGTATAATGCGTTTTAAGAAAATGACACAAAACCCAATGATTTCTTCCTAAAACCATCTATATCTCAGCTCCCACTGAAACTATCAAAATGCTTCAAACTGAAGATATTCTCGGAATTTTTAATTTTTTCCAATTACTCTAACACAAATAAAAACTTACTAGTTTGCAGCCTGATATTCGAGTTATAAAACACGGCTCTCGCATTTTGCCAACTGTGAATCAGCTTTCCCTTCCTTATCACCACTTCTTCACTTAGAATATCTGATGTTAAGGTACTCTTAGCTCGAATTCTTGGCCGACCCAAAAAGAAGCTAAAAATGTGTCGAAATGCTGGAGAATCTGTGTAGCTTAGTATGTCTTCTAGCGCTTGCGATGACTCATTTTCATTTTCATCGGACATTGTGAGGATTCGGCAGAAGTCGTGGAGGATCGCAAGAGGAGATGTGTCGGATTTTAATTGTCTGGAAATTATCATTGATATATTTAATTTAAGATCTTAAATCTCAAAAAAATCGTTTAGAGTAAGAAACCCAGAGAAACGAGACGCTCTAACTTCTCTCGAGAGTCGAAGTGTCCCCTAATTTTGACCCAATTTATCTCGGTTTCTTTAAGAGGTATCCAAAAGTTGTCAACTAAAAAAATATTTATCATAAGACAAGTAATGTTTTGTTAGTTGACCACTTTTTGATATCTCTTACAGGAGCCAAGATAAATTGGCTCAAAGAACACTATTATTTTGAGCTGGTTTACTCAACCGGCGGGGACGCCAACTTTAACCCAATTTATCTCGTTTCCCGAAAAAGATATCAACAAGTGGTCAACTGATAAAATGTTAGTCATAATATCTCTAACATTTTATCAGTTGATTTTGTTTTGATATCTTTGAGAAAAACCGAGATAAATTGGTTTAAAGTAAACGGCGCCAGAAGCGCATTTCTGCGATTGGCGTCTTCTGGCTTCTGACATAAACGTTGGGACACAAGTATAGTCAAATTTAATATCATTTTATAGATCTCGTCGAGTTCTACATTTTACCATTTATTTCGTACGGAAAATCTGAGTTTGAGCCGAGTTAACAGCTTTCCGGCGTGGGTGGAAGAGATAGAACGCCAGCCTTTACCTGACCTTTGACCTCCATTATCTCAGCTCTTATTAGAGATATCAAAAATCTGTCAATTGATAAACTGTTTGTTAAAAAATCACCTAAATTTTATCAATTAATAAATTTCTGATAGCTCTCATAGGAACCGAGATAATTAAGTTCCAAGTTTATGTATTAGATGGAGTCATATTTCGAAGCGAGAGACGCAGATAGAATTTAAATTGACAGCTATTAATAAACTTCAAAAAGACCTTTTCATATAATTCAAAAAGAAAGGAAACGGAAGACTTTTTCTAATTGAATCCGTAATTGGATTCATTTTGACAGGATGATTCATAGTTGGTTAATTGCTTCCTTCTTTCTTAAACCATTCAAACTACAAACCCACCGAAAATGATAATTCCCAATCTGAAGGGTTATCACATCGCATGAAAATTGTTGACAAATTTCAGCACAAGTCGTATTTTCATCGCATTCCATTCGAGTACTCCGCTGACCATCGGAAGAGTAGAGCCGCAGAAATCTAGACGACGTCTTCTTTTTTAACGCCTTCAGAAGAGTTGATGTAAAAGCGGATGATGTGGATTGAAGATGATTTTTGTTCATCTGGAGAAAGATTTTCTAGAAATTCGCGAAAAATATTTTTTCAAGCAGTGATCTTTTTAAAAAAGTCCAAAAACTCTTTAAATGCGCATATCACGAAAAATATAGCAGCAACCAAAACGCTGTCAATTGAGAGAATGTGTCAAATCTAGTAAATACATTATACAATTAACAAAACTGATCCAGCTTCAAAACTCTTTGAGATACATGCGTTTGAAGTTGAACGAGCTGAGAAACAGGATGGTCTACGCTTTCTCTTTAAAGGCGCATATCTCCAAAACTAGAAAAGCTATCAAAATATTGTAAATTGATGATCTGTTAAAAATTTAACAAGCTACATTATACAAGTAACAAAATTTTTCTAGCTCCAAATCTCTTCGAGATACAAGCGTTTGAAGTATATATAGCTAGCAAGCATCGTTGCTCTTCTCTGCGTCTCTTTAAAAACGCATATCTCGAAAACCAGAAAAACTATCAAAAAGGTGAAAACTGATAAAATGTGTGAAATTTCATAAACTTCATTATACTATTAACAAAATTGATGTAGCTTGAAAACTCTTTGATTTACAATCGTTTGAATTTCAGTGAGCTCTTAAACAAGAATGTCCAAGCCCTCTCTTTAAAGGCGCATATCTCTTATACGCTTAGTATAGCTAGCAATCGGCTTTGCTCCTCTCTGCGTTTCTTTAAAGGCGCATATCTCAAAAACCAGAAAAACTATCAAAAAAGTTTCAACTATCAAAATATCTAAAATTTCCAAAGCTACCTTTTTTAGTTGAAGGTATACCTCTATCTCTTCAGGTTTTAAAGTTATGCGATTAGTTTAGCTAGCGAGCCGTTTCGCTCCTCCCTGCGTCTCTTTAAAGGCGCATATCTCAAAAACTGGGAGACCTATCAGAAAGCTTTGAACTAATTAAATGTGTAAAATTTCAAAAGCTAACGTTTTCTAGTTCAATGTTTTCCTCTATCTTCCCTAGTTTCAAAGTTATGCGCTCCTTTAAAGTAAGCAATCTCACTACCAGCTCAGCGCTTCTTCCGACGCTCAGATCCTTTAAATTCGAATATCGAACCTATAAATAGATTACTCTAAAAACTAGAACACCTTTAGTTGTGAACTAGAAAAATGTAGAAAATCCGAAACTAAATGAAACTACAGCAAAACTAAAGAAAACATGTTCAAAGATCTCGGAGAAAATAAAGACAATCCTTGAGAAATCGCTAGCTAAGCCAGTCAAAAAGCTAAGTGTACTTCTTCTTCTTCAGTTTCTATACAAAAAGCGATTGAGAGGCAACGAAAATTTTTAGGCGCACGGAATACAGACCAACCAGCCGGTTGGTCATTCCTGTGACATTTCAATGCAGTTAATTGGCCTACCTGTCCTCCTCTATACACTAGAGAGACAGTTCCCCCTTTTTCTTTCTCTTTCTGGATGGGATATAATAATAATGGGACACCGCACATTGGGCTGCTTGCGTGACGATGGAGAAGGTCATTTGTATAGAGTAAACCATATATGGAAATGGCTTTTGGAGGGGGAGGGTGGAGCGGTCAAAGGGGAAGTAGACTAATTTTGAACCAATAGAATCTTGTCATCAGCAAATTCATAGGATGGATCTAAAGAAAAATAACAATGAATAAAGGTAACAATGGATGAAAATTGGCTCGAGAAGTCCCAAAACGGACTTTACTGTAGCTCTTTTCAAAATCAACATTTGCTGACCAACTAAAATATATATGATAGAAGAACTCAAGAGCTACAAAATGATACCGGTTATATTACTGTACCTTGTCTATGAGCAAAGTTACAAGCCAAAAACAAACTAAGCTATGCGGTGTGGCCCCTTTTTTCGAAAAAAAACGGACATTTTCGGAAAACTCGGAATAATCAAAAATTTGAATTTTCGAAAAAAAAGACCGAAGCTCAGGCCTGTAACTTTGCTCATACACAAGGTACAGTACTCTAAATAGTATCATTTCGTAGCTCTTGAGTTCTTCTAACTGATTTAGTAGGTCAAATAAAAATATTGGTCTTAAAAAGAGCCCATTTTCAAGTACGGAATAAAAGCAAGTAACAACGAAAAAAGCACAGAAAAAAAAATCAACAATCAATTATTCAGAATCTGAAGATTAGGCGGCAACCATCAACGACACCATCTTCCCATCAACATTCACGCCTCCACACTTCTGAAGTTTCTCCTCGAACACCGCCGCAACGTCTTCTGGTTCCTCAGTTCGTGCTTCTGATGAGAACTCGCTGATAACCTCCTTTTTGAGCTTCTTGATCTTCATTTCTCCTCCGTTTTCCTTCAATTTCCGTTTGATCACCTTCTTCCACTTGAATACTGTAGGCGTGGCTTCTTCTGGAGCTTCTGGAGCCTCATCTGGAGCTGCTGACGTCGTCGTGGTAGTCTCCTTGGCTTTGACAGCTGCAGCAGCTTCCTTTTGAGCCTAAAAAAGCAAATATGGCCTAGAAGAAAAAATTTTAATTCGAGTTTTTAAATGTTTTCTCTCTATTCCTCATTTTTTGAACTTTTCATTTCGTTAGTATTGTTATCCAGGTGATTCCAGTCATTTTGATACCCATATTGCCACTATTCCCGAAATTTGTGAATTCTGAATTCAGAAGACGTCAAAATTCGAATCTTACCAAATCGGGTGAAGATTGGTATCAAAATGACCGGAAAACCATAGAAAATTGTTTTAGCGAAGCGAAATTCGCTTAAAATGAGTCTGAAGTCCGCAAATTACCTTCTCGGCCTTCTGCATCTCCTCCTGCTTCCGAATCGCCTCCTCTCTCATCTTCTCCGCCTCCGCAGCGATCGCTTGCCAAGCTCTCAACGCCAAATTCTTATCTCTCAAACGGCAAGAGTTGGTGAGAAAATTGATGAATTTCGCCTCTTTTCTGGGGATATTCGCAAAGCCTGCGACACTCTTCAACAGCTCTTTCACCTGGTGATCCGTCACGAATTCGATGGCTCGATTCACCTGATCCACCCACGCATTCTGTTTCGCCTCGCCCTTGTTCTCCTTCTCCACATAGTTCTTTCCACCGTACTTTTGATTCTCGGTGATGCATTTCACGTGGTCCTTGTACGTGTCGCGGCTGGAAAAAGGGGTCACTTTGGTTTGCCTGTCTGTGTGTCTGTGGTGTCCGGATGTCCGGATTTGTTTGTGATATGTTTTTATTGAGGATCGATATTTGGAAAAGCCTCGAAATATCAAGAAATCAAAAACTCTGAGGTTACCGTAAACACCTTAATATAACGCCACCCGGACAGCCCACTTTGAGCCTATATATCTCACTTGTTTTGAAAGATATCAGAAAGTTATCAACTGATAAAATGTTTATCATGATATCAGCAATATTTTATTAGTTAACCACTTTTTGATATCTCTTACCGAAAATGAGATACATGGACTCAAATTTGACCATTCGGATGACGTTCTATTAGAGTGTTTACGGTAACCGTATATTGACTGTCCGATAACAAAAACTACAGTAACCCAGAAAATTGTATTTTTGCCCAATTTTTCTGTATTTTTAGGTGACAAAATTGTCGAAAAAAACCGGAAAGAAAATCGTACAAACACTTTTCACTGGAATTTTTAAGAAAAATCGAAATGTTTAAAAAAAAGGTGGAAATGTTCAGAAAAAAAAAATTTTCGTTTGTTTTCCGGCAATTTTTAGGATTTTCTAATGATTTCTCTAAAAGAATTTCGTAGATTTTTGGGCCAGTTTTTTTTTCCAATAAAAATTCGAATCCAATATTATTGAAGGTCCCATAACGTAAACTACAGTAACCGGAATACATTTAGTTTCGCGTTTTTCTGCATTTTTAAAAGACTAAACTGACGAAAAAATAAGAAAAGTAAGAATTTTTTTAGATAATTCGGAGTTTTCAGACAAAATCTAGATTTTTTTGAAAAAGTCAGAATTCTCTGAAAAATCGAAAATTTTCAGAAAATTCTAAATTTTCTGAAAAGTGGAATTTTCGAAAAAAAAAACATTTTTTTTCAGACAAAAAGGCGATTTTCTGGAAAACCAGATTTTTCTAAAAATCAATAAATGTATAGTCTTTGTCCGTTTCTCGACATTTTTAGGCTGAAAAATTTGGATTTTTCAAAGATTTTAAAAACAATTCTTCCATCTTTCCATCCAAGTGTCCAGATGTCTTCTACTTACGTGTAAATGAGCTGACAATCAATGCAACTGAACGTTGTGTTTCTACACTGGAACAGGTGCCGTTCGACCTGAAAAAATTGGGAATTTGTCATAAATTGAAAACTACCGTAACCCGAAAATATTCGATTTTTCCCAATTTTTACCTGATTCTTTTTGCACGCCTCACCGCAGTTGTTGCACGAGAAGAACACCATCTGAATAGGGAATTTTTTGTAAATTTGAGAATTTCAAAATTTGGAAAAAAATAAATAAATATATATATAATTTGGTAAGACAAAAACCATTTTTGACAAAAAAAAATGCTGAAAAAATGAGAAAAAAATACAACTAATCGGGAATTTTATTAAGCGAAAAAGGTCTTTTTTCAAAAAACTATTTTTCAAAACATTTTTTTTATAAAAAAAAGAAAGAAAGAAGAAATAACACAGATAGAGGGAATCGGGAAGATACAGAAGGCATGATTACAGGGGACAGGGAACACACTAATTAGCGAACAGTGAAAGAGTTAATTACATTTGTTTTTTGAAAATTACAGAGAGAGAGAGAGAGAGCAATTAATGGAATGTATTATAATTGACTAATTATAAAGGAAATAAGTATTTTGGACCGAGTCGAATGGGGGAAAATCGGAATTTTACACCGAAAAAGAGGAAATTTACACCAAAAAGAGCCAGAGAAGCATGAAAATCCCAATGTATTTAAAAATATTCGACAAATATTCCTCCTCTTGAGCCATTCTGGATCCCGGTGCCGCTGTTTCCGAGTGGACTCTTCCTGAAATTATATTTTTGAAAATTTGGAATTTTAGGGATTTTGAATTTCCAAATTTTGGAATTTAGGAAGTTTAGAGTTTCGAAAATTTGAATTATCAAAATATTTAATGTCAGGAGTTTGGGGATTTATTGTCGAATTTATCAAACTGACACCTGCGTGTTTGCGGACTCAGTGCAAATCACGTTAATTTTTGTACTGAGTCTGCAAACACGGGGTGTCAGTTTTATAAATTCGACAATATGAATTCAAAGGTGGTGTGCGGTGAAAAATTTTATTGTTTTATTTTGTGCAGAAATCCATGTATTAGGTTGTTCGGAAAGTCCTTTCCACTTTTGATATGTTGTTTTCAAACTTTGTTTTCTTGAAGGGGATAAAAGCGAAGAAGTTGTCGTTTTATCAGTATGCTGGTGAGGTCTAATAGTGTCTACACCCCAACGGAGATCATTCTCCTCTTTTCGTGCAGTGAGATATGCCAACCGTTTTCGCCTCTAATAATTTCCATTTTTGGACTACCATTTTATTTTTATTTCTATCTGACCTCAGATCAACTGAAATCAATCACCAATTTGTGGAGGTTAACAACGAAGATGCACCCTTTCGAACAAATTTCACAACCTGGATTCATCAATTTGAAAAATGAAAATTCTCGTTGGACGAAAATCCCCCTCCAAAAAAGCATACGGGGCTCAGATTTGGACGCATTAAAACCGGGATTGAAAGGGACCCGTCTCAAACTGTGCGGGATATATCAAGTACATCATTGGCAAGACTTTTGTCAAAAAACCATAAAATGGGAACTCTCGGCAAAGTAAAAAAAGTGGGAAGATATGGATCAAACCTTTTCGCTCAACGCAACTTCGTTTCACGTGTGGGCACCTGTTTAAATCTTCTCATCCTGCGTTGCAGACATGAATGTTGAAGTTAAATCATTACTAGTGGCGATAAATGGGTAATGTATGATTACTATAAACAACAATCCAAGTGGGTTGACAAAGGCACTCAACCACCAGACGTCCCGAAACGTGAAATTAATGTTAAAAATGGGATGTTTTCGGCATGGATGTCTACCAAGGAGTGGAGTATTGGGAGCTGCCAGATAATGGTGTCACTTTTATGACCGATACCTATTTTTGTCAGGTGACATAACTCAGACTCCATGTGGATCTCCATTGGAGAGAAACACAAAGGTTTACTTTCAAAATCGAAGTTCGCAACCTCATGCGGGAAGGAGAACGGAGACCGATCTCACTGGATACGACTAAACGGTTCTGTCTTATCTACAGTATAGTCCAAACCTTGTACTGTCTGACTACCCCCTCTCCAGCCATTTCTACCGACCTCTTGATTGAAAAAAATTCACTTCAAAGCATGATGTCAAAAATGGGTTGACCTGATTTTGAACTCGCTATGACCGGAGTTCTGGAAGGAAGGCATCCACAATTTGGTGGGACGTTGGCAGATAGGCACTGATAACAATGGTCATTACCTTCAATTTATCTGACATCGTTTTGACCTTTTTTATATCGAATGAATCTGACGCTAAAAATGGAAAGGACTTTCCGAACAACCTAATAGATTCCCATAAAAATAAAGAAAAAATTCAAAAAATTTCCTTCATTGAGAAAAACGGCATCGAAAAGTCAAAGTGGGAACTGGTGGCCGAGTGAAGCAGCGGGGGTTTTCTAGGCCATTTACAGGAAAAAGCAAGCGAAATTTGAATTTTTGATGATTTTCAGTGTTTTTTCATATGTTTATAAGGATTTTTAAATGTTTTTGTTAACGTTCTTCCAGGCATATGAAAAAACCTGACAAAAATCAGAGAAAACACTGAAAATCAATAAAAATTCGAACTTCGCGCGCTTTTATCGGCAGTTGGCCTAGAAAACTCATACCTGGCCGCTAGGCCACCGGTTCCCACTTTGATTTTTCGATGTCATTTTTCTCAATGAAGAAATTTTTGAATTTTTTCTTTATTTTTATGGGAATCTACATGGATTTTTACACAAAATAAAACAATAAAATTTTTCACCGCACACCACCTTTAGGAGTTTTCGAAATATAGACTCCAAACGTCGAAATTTCCAAGAAAAAATTCAAAACTTCAAATTTTCTAAATTTCGTAATTTGGGAATTCCAAAACACCCAAAATCCAAAATTTCGAAAACTTCCAAAATTCCAAATTTTCTAATTTTCTAAATTCAAATTTTCAAAATTCCAAATCCAAAATTCAAATTTTTTTTAATTCCAAAACTTTATTAATTCAAAAATTCTGAATTTTCAAAATTCTAGATTCGAAATTCCAAAACTAAAAATTCGAAAATTCCAAAGTTTTGATAATTTCGAAAATCTCAAATTCCAAAATTTCAAAATTTGGAAATTCCGAAATTCTAATAACTCCAAAACTTCGAAATTTTAAATTTTAAAAGTTCAAGATCCCAATATTCCCAAATTTCCAAAATACTAAATATTCAAAATTTTCAAAATTCTAAAAATTCGAAATTTTCAAAAATCCTAAACTCAAAATTTTTCTAAGTTTCAAAATTCTTCAATTCCTAAATTCAAAAAATCTTAAATTCCCGAATTTCGAAATTTCAAACTGATTAAAAACCCTCACCATACGGCCCAGGACCTCTCTCCTGCGCTCCTGGCTGTCCAGGCTGTCCTTGATTTCCAGGAGCACCTCCTCCAACTCCATTCTCCTGTCCTGGATTTCCATTATTGAACCACGAGGCGACGAACGACAACGGGAAGATGCCTTGAATGAAAGGGAGCATGAACATCAGCGGAAAGAGCGGATTCACCGTACCAATTCCGAACGAAAAATGGACATTATGCCCAACGCCGCCGCCCATCATACCGCCTCCATCGTTGAATCCACCCCAGTTGAATCCACCGAATGACGACTGAAACGGGTTAGATAATCAAGGGTTAGAAATCGGAAATTTTTGGGTTAAAAGGGGTTAAAAAGCTCCGAAAACCGAGAAAAATTTAGTAAAAATTAGGTATTTTGGCCTTTTTTTCTCGGATTTACCTGCTGCGGCTCACTCCGTTGCCCCTTCGGACGTGGCGGAATTTTCGTCCGTGGATCTGTCGTATCACCACCGCGTCCATAGATCGGGACGACCTAAATTTCCACATATTTCCTCAAAATTCTAATTTTTTCTTGTTCAAGTCATACTTTAGTCCCATCGATCGCACTTTTACACACTGGACACACTTGATTGTTGGGACGGGTGTCGAGCCACTGACTGAGACACGGCCAGCAGAAGAGGTGGCCGCAGAGGGAGACGACGGCGTCGCGGGCGGCGTCCAGACATATGTTGCACTCGAATCTTAAGCTTTTGAAAACTTTTTATTGAAAGTTTCGGTTTTCTTATCGAAAATAGTCAAAAAAAAATCGATGAAAATCATATGTGAAGCGATTTTCGAAATTGGGACTCTCCTTTTTTTCCTCTATAATGTAATTCTGATTTTCATAGACCGCAATTTCATTAAAATAGGCGAAAAATGGCTGAAAATCTTCGAAAAATGCGAATTGTCGTCAAGTCAAATGCAAACTGTGCATATGTGCACCGCGACGCAAAATTGCGTACCGAACAAAAAAGGGTGGTTTTCAGTGATTTTCAGCAAATTTCCGAACAAAATTTAGGTTAAATCGCGAATTTCTAGCAAAACTATAGCTTTTTTCACAAAAAATAATCATAAATTCGCTGAAATACTGTCAAAATCTCCAAAAAATGTGAATTGCCGTCAAGTCAAGTGCAAACTGTGCACATGTTCACCGCGACGTAAAATTGCGTATCACACCAAAAATGGGCAGTCTGAACTCTTTTTTCAGCGATTTTTAAATGTTCTATGTTCAAAACGTCATAAAATCAAACTAAGATTCACCTAGCCGATTCATCCTTATTACTAGAACCCGGGGGCTCTTCGGGTGGCGCTTGTGTTGTTCCAGAAGCCATTCTGAGCAAAAAAAACATTTTTGGCCTAAAAATCGATATTTCAGAGATAATTATAAAAATCGGTTCGGTAAACCGGTTTCAGAAATCAAAAAGGAATGCAATAAGGTTATTTTCTTCAGGAAAAAAGCATGAAATTCGAGAATAAATAACAAAAATAGAAAAAAAATTAATTTTTTAAAATTGAGATCTACAACGGCGGCACCACCAATCCTTGCTCTCTCCTCTCAAAGTATCTCTGCCTGGCCTCCTCGATGTCCTTCTCTGTATTCCGTTGCGCTAGAATCGCCTTCAACCCGTCCAACCTTGCCGCTTTATCGATTCTCTTCGGCTTCAGCTTATCCTTCAGCGACGTCTTCTGGGCTTTAGGGGGCTCTGGAGACTTGGATTTTGTTTTTTCTCTTTGATTTCTCTGAGCATGATCTCTAGATCTTCTCGGGCTCGTGCTCCTTCTATGGTCTCCTACAGCTCGTGGAGCTGGTTTAGGTGCTTCGTCATCTGATGAAGGAGGTGTGGGTGTGAAATTTCTCTGGCGGATTCTCTCAGCGTGCGTTGTCGCCTTCTTTGTAACTAGATTGAGCCCAGCTTTGAGTTCTCCTTCGAAATTCTTTTTCGGCGCTTCTGGAGCCTTAGACTTCTTCTCATCGTCTTCTGAATCTGTATCGTAGATTGATTTCTTTTTCGGCTCCTCCTTCTTCTTAACGTCTTCTTTCTGCTCTTCCTCATCTCCAGAATCCTCCCTCTTCCTCACATTCTTTTTCTCCATTTTCCTCTGCTTAATCGCCGTTGGATCTCTCGCCAGGTCATTCAGAAGAGTCCTTCCCATTCCCATCTCCCACATCTTCTGCTTCTGCACACTTGTCATGTCATTGAACGCCGCTTCTTCAGCCTCCTGCTCCCGGTACTTCTTCACTTCCTCCTGCTGTTTTCGATAGGCTCCTGTCACGAACACCTCCTTGTCGTCGAATTCTCCGGCTTCCTTCTCTCGCTCCTTGATTTGTTGACGTTCTTCTCGTGAGAATTGCTCTAGCTGGCGACGAGCGTGCGCCTTGATAATTGCTTCTGCGTATTTGGACTCCTTGTTCTTGTCCGCTTTTCGAGCTTCTTCTTTCTGGAAAAACAAAGGGTTTTGAGGTCTCTAGCAGTCTTGTAGAATCGATTTTGGCGGGTTACTGTAGTCCAAAATACGCGAAATCGCGTTCGGTATATTGTACGAGAATTAACGGGAATCGGAAGGTTCTAAAGCGATAACTACAGTAACCTAATAATATTTTGACTTTCTGGAAAAATAATTCCTGAAAATAAAAATTATTTTAGGTTACGGTAGTTTTCGTTTTGAGACTTTCGTTCACGACAACCAGCATTTATCTTCCACAGACCAGATTTTTTTGTACCAGAATAATAATTCTAACCATTTTAAGCCGTCTGGCTCATTCGTGCAACACACCGTACGCGATATTGCGTATTTTTGGCTACAGTAACCCGCCAAAAACTTTTGAATAATGAAAAAAAAACCTACCTTCTCATTCTTAATCGCCTGAATCTCATCGTAATTCCCATCGTAGTCGAAAATCGTCGGATCCTCTGCCTCAGCCTTTTGATGCTCCCGTTCAGCGGCCTTCTGAATCCGAATCACGGATGCTGATGAGGTGTTGGTGGCGGTGGCTGGCTGGAAATTTTCAGAAATTTCGAAAATTGTTCAATTGCGAAAAAATTGATATCACGACCTGGAATAGGCTGAAAAGAGGGATGCCGAAAGAAAATTTTGAAAAAACCGAAATTTGAGAAAAATTTTTTTTTCAAATTTCAACTTTTTCAGAAATTTCTTTTAGTATGCTTATTTTCAGCCCATTTCAGCTAGTGATATCAATTTTTATGGCAATTAGACCTTTTTTGAAATTTTTCAAAAATTCTAACCGCTTCATCATCGTCATCATCCCCAAAGACACTGGACACCCTGACAGGAGCTCGTTTCGGCTCCTCCTTCTGCTTAACAATCAATCCAAAACGCTTGGGTGGTGCGGACATCTGGAAATACAGATTTTGGACCTTTTAAAATTAAAATGAAAAAAAAAGTATAAAAACCGCTGAAAACGGCTTAGAATCAGGTCAAAATGCCTAAAATGGCTAGAAAATTTTATAATAAACACGGCAAATCAAGAATAGAAGCAAATGGAAGAAGAAAATCACCCGGTTCCCGGCAAAAAAGAAATAAAACGAGTTTTGGAGGAAAATAATTTAGAAACAGGAATTGAATTGAAAAAACGAGGATAAGAAAATGCATTGGTATTGTGACTTTTTGGGATTCTCATAAAAATTTTTGCTATAAAAAACTATTAGTAGGAAATTTGAAAAAAAAATGAGGTCTAGAATTATTAGACGGTCCTATTCCAGCCCAAGCCACGTGGTGATTCCCTGGACGGCGGTGACGATCAGCGGTTGCCAGCACACGAGATAGCGGATCCAGTCGAGCAGCTTTCCATAGAACAAGTGGGGTTTTTCCCAGCTGAAAATGGATTTTTAGGATAAAAAATTCAAAATATCCGAAAATTTCAAAAAAATCTGAAAATTTTAAAAATCCAAAAATTCGAAAATCTCCAAAATTCGCAGTTTAAAAAAATTCAAAAATTTAAGTTTTCAAAGTTCAAAAAAATGTTAAATCTGAAAAATTCCTGAAAATCCGAAAAGTTTAAAAAATAACTTTTTTATTATGCTTGTCTGAGAAAAAAAAAGGTTGAGACGCAGAGAAAATGTGTATGCGTCTCCACCGTTTGTGTGCTATTTAGGCTCTCCGCTTCGATATCGCTACCGTATTCAGACTGCAAAAAATACTCTCTAACCTTTTTTTTTCTCAGACAAGCATAATAGAAAATATTGGATTTTTTGAATTTTTCAGATTTTTTTAATTTTCGGATATTTTGAAATTTGACTTTTTCGGATTTTCTTTTTTTTTAACGATTTTCGAGTTTTGCGAATTTTCCGAATTCCCAAAAATTCAAAAAAAACCCACGGATTCTTGAACATCCTCTGCAAATCGACGCGCTCCTTACAGTATGGACAAGTCTGGAGCTTTCCAACGACGACCCATCCACGAATACACCACTCATGGAAGACGTGACCACAGGAGAGTCTGGAAAAATGGATTTTCGGCTTTTTTCTATCGATTTTAGGCATTTTCAGTCGATTTTTAAAGGTGGGGGGACAGGAGATTTTACGGGGGATTTTTGGGGCCAGAGTATGCATTCTACCGTGACGGTGTACAACGCTTAATGTCACTCTGCGTACAGCTGTCGCCCTCGCCTGGGGCGACAGCTGTACGTATACAATCGGGCAGCGGCTTTCTGTATGCAATCGGGCAGCTTTATGTATGCAATCGGGCAGCGGCTTTCTCTTTGCACGCGTAGCTCAGTCGGTAGCGGCGCCGCACCTTTAACACTCGCCTCGACAAGTTCAACTCCTCGAGGAGCAAATTTAAACGGAATTTCGACAACATTATTTTTCTCATGTCCCCCCACCTTTAAAAGGATTACTTTTTTAAAGGGATTTTTCAGAATTTCCAGAGTATTTTCAGTTAATTTTAAAGGATTTTCAAGTAACTTTACAGGGATTTTCAGCCTATTTTCATCCCATTTCACTCCAAAAAAAAACTCACTTATACAACTTCTCATCGTCACTCTCTCCTGTTAGACTCTTGACTTCCACCTCATGCACGTGCTCCGAATCGTCGAGCCGACCGCCACAAACCGCACAAACGCCGTCTTCCAGGTGCTTTTTGGGCAGGCCGTCAGGGGTGTAATACTGAAAAATATTATTTTTTTTTTGATTTTTGAATTTTTAAATTTTAAAATTCCTGGATTTTCGAATTTTTTGAATTTTTCGGATTTTTAAGTTTTTTTGGCTTTTTTCAACCCAAATTTTGGCTATTTTCCAGAAAAATTTTGTCTGTTTTGTAGATGAATTATGGTTATTTTTTAGCTAAATTTTTACTATTTTTTGCTAAAATTAGCAATTTTCTAGCCAAAATTTGGCTGTTTCTAGCCAAATTTCAGCTATTTTCAAGCTAAAGTTACCCCAATTCTCGACGCCATCCGATCCGTACAAATGTGCGCAAAATCGCGGCCAAGTACTCCATAATACACTCCGTAGAACATGAAAAGGATTCCTGGAAAAATAGAGCATTTTGGATTTTCCGTCATATCTCAGCTCCTTCAAAAGATATCAAGAATCTGTCAACTGACAAATTACTGATAATTTTATGGCAATCATTGATCAGTTGGCATATTCTAGATCTTTCTTATAGGATCCGAGATAAATAAGGATACTCACCAACATCCATAAGTGTTGGCTGAGTGACACCGAAGAAGACGTGAAATCCGAGCAGTGCGAGCATCATGATAACGTAGCCAACGACTCCGAGCACATAGCTCAACTTGTGCAGAAACAAGAACCATTTATAGACCAATCTGAAAAAAAAGTGAAAATTTTGTGAAAAATCGCGTTTTTAGTCCTAAAAATCAACTGAAAATTCATGTTTCAAAAAAAATCTTTTCGGATTTTTTGTAAAATAAAATTCCGATTTTTAAAAGCCTCAGAATTATTAAAATCGTCAAAAAATTCGCTGAAATTCTTCGATAAATGTGAATTGTCGTAAAGTTAAGTGCAAAGTGTGCACATGTACTCCGCTACGCAAAATTGCGTACCAAACAAAAAATGGGCGGTTTTTTAGCGATTTTTAGCGAATTTTCTACGAAAATTCAGTTCAAATCGCCAAAATAGACAGCTAGGCGCTTATTTCTCGCAATAAATACCGCTTTTTCATCAAAGTTAGTCCGAAATTCGCTAAAAAAATGGAATTGTCGTCAAGTTAAATGCAAACTGTGCACATGTACACCGCAACGCAAAATTGCGTACCCAACGAAAAATGGGCGGATTTTCAGGGATTTTTTACTAAAAACAGGCTCAAATTCGATGGAAAAACTGTAAAAAAGCTATGTCATCAAAAAACGGAAATTCTGGAAATTTCTAGGTCGATTTTAGCTTATTTTTGCCGGAAATTTCAAATTTTTTAACTCAAAAAAAGATTTTTGTGCAAAAATCACCTCGGCGTGCCTCCACTAATATGCTGAGCCGAGGCTTTGAGCCAAATGAACGCCGAGCAGATGCAGAAGACGCACCACGTGGCAAGGAATCGCCACCACGATCGGGTGAAGCACACATACACCGGGATAGTGAGCATTCCGACGAGAGTGCACATCTAGAAATTTTTTTTCAGCAAAAATTGAAAAAATACAGTAATATCAAATGTTATCACAGCAGAAAAAATTTTAAAAAAATTTTTCGCCCAAAATTTTAGTTTTTTACCTGATAAGACTTAAAATGCTTCCTCTTCCATGTCACTAGAAAAATCTGTCCGACGATCACCGAAATAATAAAAATTAGCATCATTTCCATGTGCATCGCCTCGTGTCCCCGATGCTTTTCGTGCATTTTCCGGTGCTCCTCCGCCCATTGCTCTTCTTCGGTTAATTGCTGAAAAATACCAAATCTTGAATGAGAAATGGAATTTTTCAGGTGCTAATTAGTCTAATTAGTCGGATTTTGAAGTTAATTACAGGGAAATTGGCCGAGAAGATAAAATAATAAATTATTTTTCGAAAAATTGACCAACCACTTCCACTGCCATCGGTTCCACCTCATTCTGCAGTCTAATCGCCCCATGTTGGCCCATTTTCAAGTCTGAAATTTGAGAAAAAGTGTCAAAATAAGTTAATAAAGAAAAAATATCGATTTTTCAGAATAAATAGGCCAGATGATCCAAAATAGGTCAAAAACGAACGAGAATTCACTTATTAGCAAAAAAATCCATTAGAATCTATGTCAAAACTAAAATTCCGGTGAAAAAGGAAACCGGAAATCGAGAAAAATCCAACGATAACTCGGGACATGTGGTAAATAAAAAAGTTACGAAATGTCAACTGCATGCGGCGGTGTTGCAAAAGCCGCGCGCGCGGCTTGCAAGTGGGATGCCCCGCCCACTTTATTCGAATGCGATTTGCATTTTTTGAGCTGTTTTCGATCGAAAAACACTGCTTTTTTCGGATTTTTTCGAACTTTTTTGAGATCTTTGCTTTAAAAAACTATTTTATAGTGCTTTTGATAGATATGCAAGGCTTTATTCGCATGGAAAATCGAGATTTACATAAATAGGAAAACATTTGAAAATTCGTCGAAAAAAAAATTTTTTTGTAGAAAGTATTTTTTTGAAATTTTTTTTAAACCCATTTTCGATCTTTTTTTCGCCTCAAAACAATATAATTTCAGTAAAAACAGAACTTCAAGTTTTCCAGAAAAATGAGCAACGGTAGCCAACTCGGATCCGTCGTCACAGTTGGGCAGGACAAGCCGATCGATCGGGAGAAGGTGTGCCCGATGCTCCTTCGTCTCTTCTCCTCCAACCATCGTCATAATCCGATTCGCGAGTTCAACAACTCAAATAATGGATCCGTGCCGCCAAATGAGGTCTTCATGCACACCTGGTAGGTTTTTTTCAACTTCGACAGCTCAAAAAACTCGAAATTCGGCCCCAAAAATAGCTCAAAAGCTCAAAAAACCTCAAATTTCAATCTAAAACCTTTGTCATTTCTTCTAGGATGGACTGCACCCTCCGCGAGCTCACCACCCTCATCAAGGAGGTGAATCCAGACGCCCGCCGCAAAGGAATCACTTTCGAGTTCGCCATCGTGTCGCCAGATCGCTCATCGCCTAGATATTTGCTTCGTGAGATCGGAAGCACACAGAACGGACAGCGAGGATTGGATGATAGCAAGACGGTAAGGAAAATGGATCTAAAACCACAAATTCTGATCTAAAATCTCCGAAAATTGATCCAGAATTCACCTAGAATCCCCAAATTTTCATCTAAAAACTCGAAATTTCGAGCTCTCAAATTTTGACCCAGAAACCCCATTTCAGCTCCAACAATGCAAATTCGAGCCCGGAGACTTCATCGACGTCGCCATAATCAACCCGGGAGGCCGTCGCTTCCCATCAGGACCAACGTCTGGCCGTGAAATCGGCGGAGACCGTTTCCACGGACGTCTTCGCAGTCCTGTACGCTAAATCTCGAAACACGATCTCCTCTGTAATTATTTCTGTTCTCCTGACCTTGAAATTTTGCTGTTTTTTTTTGTCAATATTAATAATCCAACACGACATACAAAAATTCGATTTTTGGCGAAGTTTTTTGTGAAAAAGCTACGTATTTTGACCCCTTTTATCACTTTTCTTCATTCTCTCTGATCCTGATCACATATATAAAATTTCAATGTTTTGCCACCCAGTTTTCGTTTTGCCATTCATTTTTCTATTTGCCAAAAATGTCAAAAGTGACACAGTTATTCTGGAAACCTACAAAATTCCCGATCGGATTCAACAAAAAATCGAAAAAGAGCATGTCAACGTTCCCGATCGCCTTATCCCACCGTTCTTGTCTGAATCCATTGCTCATATTATTCTGAATCCCATCGATTCGGATCCCATGGAAGCTGCTCGTGTGGAGGATATACGTGTCAAGTGGGAGGAGAACTGGAAACACTTTCCCGAGCGGCACGAGCAACTGGTAGGTTAATCTACGCCCTCTACCGTGGTGGTAGTTATTAGCGCGCGTGGTGTAGTAGCTAACATTGCTGACTGCCATTTTGAAGTCGCGGGGTCGACTCCCGCCGCGGCCAAATCTCTTTTTTCTCTTTTTCTTGTTTAGATTCCATCTTTTTTTAAAATTTCAGCGCATCACAGAACTCATCAAATCTTGTGCCATCCACAGTCAATTCGAGAATCTTCCATTTCTGTTCCCCCGCTTTTTGTGTGCCCTGTCCTTCGTCTATCGTGAATTGCAGAAGCCTCGTTTGAACTTCACAGAAGTCCTTTTTCCACGCGTCACCGATGCTATAAAATTTCTGAACGACAAGGACAATTATCCGTGTCACTCGATGAATATGACTGATGTGGTGGCAATGGTACCCGGACGGATTTACAGCGGTTGTGTGGATGATACGGTAATAAAAATTGGTCTTGAAGCGATAACAGAGCGTTACGATATGCTAAATAAAGCGAAAAAACAAAGAAAAAAGGTTTTGACGCCACCGGGGTTCGAACCCACGAGTGGTCGCTTCAAAACGCGCGCGCAGACCAGTAGGCCATGCGTGCAACCGCAGACAAGAGGCGAAAGACGATGATAAAGAGTGCGCGTTTCGCAGCTGAAAGTTCAGTTTGGACGGAGTAATAGGTGACGCGGGGATTTTATGGTAAGCCCTTTTGGGTCGTAAAACGATAATTGAAGGTTACGGTATGCTAAAACAGGCTAAAGAAGAAAGCAAAAAGGTTTTGAGGACACTTAGCCTAGCTGAATTTCGAACTCACAAGTGCCATTTTCAAAAAGTGCGCGTAGACCACTAGGCCTTGTGTGCAACAGCTTATTACGAGCCACAAGGCATAGATAAACGATGCACGTTTCGCACCTCAAAAATAGCTGTTTTCCAGAACACCATTGCCTTCAGTCAATTCTCCTCAGCTTTCGTGATGACGCATCCGTTCCCCGACGTCTCCAAGAAGCCGTGTCCCACCACCTGCGAGCTCCGTTCGATTCTCCTTCAACACAAAATCATTTACCAGCATGAAGATTGTTGTTGTGACGGCGAGATGTGTGCACTTCTAGTCTTCACTCAGACGACGTCGCTGACTCCGTTGATCATGAAGACGATTGATTTGAGTAAGGAGACGATGGTAGCACTGCCGACGACGTCTACGCCGAAGCCAACCGGCATCCGGAGAAGAGCCACAGCGACTACACCGGCTTATAACTTCATTTTTGGGCGTCGATGAACTTTTTTTGTGAATTTTTTGAATGAAAGAATTTTGGAAACCAATTTTTAATAATCATTTTGAGGTCGAATAAACAGTAACAATGAAAAATCAACAATTAAAAATCCGAAATTTAGGTCGAAAAAGAGCTATTTCTTCCTCTCATAGGTCCACTGATAAACGGCCGCTCGCATTTCCTTGGCCTTTTTGATTTTTTTGGGCTTCAACTCGGATGTCGATCCCGCTGCCAGGTGTTTCTTCAATTCCAGCTTATCAACGACGATTTGGAGCTCACGAGCTCGCTCGGTTCGCTTCATCAGTTCGTTGTAGCGAGTGCGACGGATACGGTCGGCTTTCTGAAGGAAGAAAATTCGAAAATTAGAGAAGTGGGCGGAGCTTAGGAGCTTTTTTTGGAAAGTTTTTAGGTTGATTCTCGATGAATTTGATCGATTTTGAACGTTTTTTTTTACACAAAAATCGCGTAAAATCAATGAAAATTATCGAAAAATCAGCCAAAAGACAAAAAAAACTCACTCGAACTTGCTCTTTTGAGCCGGCTCCAACGATGGTCTTATTCTGCAAATCGTCATTTTTCACTCGATTAAACTGTCTGGACAGCATAGACGTCGTGGTGTCGAAGTAGACACGTGGATCGAAGGATTTGGCTTCAGAATCGTCGTCCACGAAGACGGTGTGCGTATTCTTCTTGCCGCTTAACGTTGGATCCGCGAAATGGAGTTCTCCTTTCATTTCATCGATTTTCTTCTTCTCCTCGTTTAATTTAAATTTCACATATTCCAAGTCTTTGAGACTTCCCAACTTCTTCTGAAGCTGAGTTTCAGCCTCTTCAGCCGCATTCTTCTTGTCGAAGTGGCGACCGTCGTCCTGCAATTTGGGGCTTTTAGGTCGAAATTTGGGGTTTTTAGATCAAAATTAGGGATTTTTAAAGTCAAATTTTGGGTTTTCAGGTCAAAATTTGAGGTTTTAGGTTGAAATTTGGGTTTCTAGTGCAAAATTTGAGGTTCTTAGATCAAAATGTGGGGTTTCTGGGTCAAATCATGGGGGCTTTCGGGCAAAAATTAGAGATTCCAGTTCGAAAATTGGTTGTTTTTTTGGCAAATTTGACGATTCTAAAAGTCAAATATGAGATTTTAAAATCGAGTTTTGAGGTTTTTAGGTTAAAATATGGCATTTTTAAAGTCAAAATTTGGCATTTTCAGGTCAAATTTTGGGGTTTTCAGTTCAAAACTTTGCGTTTTAGATCAGACTTTGTGAGTTTGAAGGTCGAAAATTGAAATTTTTAGGACACAATTTGGGGTTTTTAGATATAAGTTTAGGGCGAAATTTGGGGTTTCAATGTCAAAAATTGGGTTATTAAAACCATTTTAAGGTATTTAAGCCATATTTCGGCTTTTTAAAATCAAAATTTGGAACTTTAGGTCAAAACCCCAAAATTTTAAAGTCAAATTCTGGGGTTTTTAGGCCAAAATGTGGGACTTTTAGGGTCTAAATTCGAAGTTTTCAAGCCAAACTTTGGGATTTTAAAGTCTAAATTCAAGTTATTTTACCTACCCAGGTCTCACTGTTGACCATATGATGATGATACTCGTCCTGATTCTTGTCCATCGCCGATTTTTTCAACTTTTTGATCGTATCGCGTTTCTTTTGATAATCCTCGGCTCTTAGCTTGTAATCCTTCTTCTTTTCGAGCTCTCCATACTTTCGACGAGCTTCCGGTTGCGATCGCTCACGATGCTGCCGCTGACCGGACAGCTTTTTGCTGATTGACACCAAGGAGGACATGTCTGGAATATGGATTTTGCGATTTTTATAATTTAAAATAGCCGAAGACGAACGAATTTCAAAAAAAATCAAAATCCCACTTCAAAAAAGCTTATAACACACAATTTCTCATAGATTTCACAAATTTTAGACCGAAAAATTGCTCAGAATAAAAACAGTCAAATCTGAAAATTGTCGCTAGAAAACCCGAGAAAAAATAGTCCAAAAACATCCAATTTGAAAATTTCGATTTTTCACTGAAACTCCACTTAAAACCCAAAATTTCCTTCACATTTTACATTTGCCCAGACCCAAAAATTGCATGAAAGTCAATAAAAACAGTCAAAAACCCCGAATTTTCACTAGAAAATCCGAAAAAACAGCGAAAGCCCGAAAAAAATAAATTTTTGCAGATAGTCTAGCAGAGCGCGTTTGTATCGCCGACGAAAAATTCGGAGACCCCGCAAATTCCGGGGAAAGAAAAAATCGGGGGAGAAAAAACCGGGGAAAGTGGGCGGAGTCGAGAAAAACCGTGCGGCAAAACCGTGCCAGGGTTGCAATTTAGGCTCCGCCCCCTCATGACCGTGTCCAAATGTGCAGAAAAACCGTGCGGCAAAACCGTGCCAGGGTTGCAATTTAGGATCCGCCCCTGACTCCGCCCACTTTTCTCCGGAGTTTTTTTTTCCCCGGAAATTTTTTTCTCCGGAATTTGCGGGGTCTCAAAATTCGAAGAAAAAGTGCGCGCTCATTGCGAATTTGCAAATGGGCGGGGTTTGTCATTAGTTCAGCTGAAATTGAGATTTTTCGCTGAAAAATCCTGAAATTCCCGAATTTTTCGATAAAAAATAAGAACATTTTATTTAAAAATCAGAAAAAAAAGCAGTTTATCCATAAAAATAATTAAAAACATCTAAAAAAACACTTGGTAAACCTTCGAAAACCCGATACGGGGGAATGGGGAAAAACACAGGGAATACTATAAAATTGGTATTTACTGGGTGAAAAAAAAGGAAAAGTGACTAGGCAAGTAGAAAAAAGGCTAAAAAGTTTATTTTTGGAACAAGTACTTGAAATATTCGTAGAAGCTGATCATGATGGCGCAAGCTGGAGAGACCTTGACAAGTCGCGGCAGGAGACCTGAAAAATTGATTTTCAGCGAAATTTTCGGAATGAAAATCGTCAACATAGCCGGATTTTCTTGCCTAAAAGTTACTAAAATTGAGCCTTACCCGCTGAAAACGCTCCAATCCCTCTCGTCTGATACATTTCCCTGATCACCGCGCCAATCGATTTGTTCATCGAATCCAGATTTCCACCGATTCGAATCTGAGCATTCGTCTTGATGACGTCGAATGGATGCGTGAATACAGAAGCCACGATGCCGGCAGAAGCACCTGACACAAAAGAGACAACGAACGGCGAGTGGTCCGGACCTTGAAGGCGTGTCAAGCGGGTTTTAAACCAATCATATCCAGCCCAGTAGATTCCAGAAAACGGGATATCACGGAGCATCGTTGGCGTCCAGCCAAGATAAAACGCCGAGATGCCCTTCGTCGCCCATGAGCTCTTTATCAGATGACCCAGTTCTGGAAAAAAATCTGTACATCTAGATGTCCCTAGAAAGCATTGCTCACCGTGATACGTTAATTTCTGACTCTGCATTTTGGTCCTTATCATCTCGATGGGACTGACCAGTGTTACTGATAAGGTCCGCGCAGCGATACCAGCGGTCGCCGCGGCCGTCCAATCTGGAGGCGTCCATTTCTCTGGGGAGAACGCACGACGACAGCACATTCTGAAAAAAATATCGTTATAAAATTTTTTTCGAAAAATCCGAAAAATTCCAAAAAATTCCAAAAATTCAAAAAATCCAAAATTTTCAAATTTTTCGAAAAATTCAAAAAGTCCAGAAGATCCAAAAATTTCGAATGAATTCGAAAATGTTCAAAAGTCAGGAAGTCCATAAATTAAAAAAAAAACCCAAAACTTTCGAAAAAATTTAAAAAATCTGAGAATCTTTTAAAATCCGAAAAATTCCAAAAATTCGAAAAAAGTCGAAAAGTCTAAAAATTCAATAAATTATTTTTTTAAATAATTTTTCGGAAAAATTCCAAAAATTCTAAAAATCTTCAAAATCTTCAAAATTCCAAAAAAATCCAAAATTTTCGAAAAAAATTCTAAAATTCTAAAAATGCAAAAATTCTAAAAATTCTAAAAAATCCAAAAAATGCATTAGAATCCGAAATTTAGGAAATTTCAAAATTTTCATAAAATCCAAAATTTAAAAATTTTGTCGAAAAATCCAAAATTTTCGAAAAAAATGCAAAAATCAGGAATTTTCTAAAAATTCCTAAAAACCCCAAAATTTTTCAAATTTTTAACAACTACAAAAAGTCTTAAAATTTTTTAAACCTTTAAAAATCCAAAAAAAAACCACAAAAGCTTTAAAAATCTTAAAAAGTTCCAAATTTCCAAATTTTTCGAAAAAATAGGAAATATTAAAAAATTTCCAATAATCTAAAAATTCTAAAAAATCTAAAATTTTCAAAAAAAAAAATCAAAATTTTCGAAAAAATTCATAAAATTTTCCATCACATTCTAGAAGACGTCAGAACCTTTTTTTTCCAACTTTTGTTCCATATTTCCAAAAACAAACTCTCTACTAACTTTTTTTTCAACCAAACCGACAAATTATCATAAGTGGTGAAATAGAAAACGGTCGCTGGCAACGCCATGACCATCGTCGGCGCCAGTCCACTCCACAGCGATCGGACGCCTTCGTGTTTGGTGATTTTTACGAAGGCGTCGGCCATTCCACGGAAGTTTCCAGGTCTTTGATACCATTCGCACGGCTTCCGGACCTCGCACGCTTCGCAGACAACGTCCATTAGGCCGTTGTGATAGTAGAAGCATTCGCCTTTGGGAAACGGGCGAGACTGTTGTTGGAGACGGATTTTGACGACGTCCAGGGGGGTCACTGGAAGAATCATAAAAATTCAAAAATCATAAAAATTCGTTTTTGTTTCAAAATCGGCAATTAGGATTATTAGGTTTTCGAAATATTTTTCTTTCAGAAATCGGGAAAATCGTTTAAAGGGGGACTCCGACCAAAAATTTTTATTGCATTAAAATGTGTTAAAATTTATCTATTTTTCAAATATTATTGCGAAAAAATTCAAAGAAAATCCGAAATCCCCGAAAAACGGCGTTGAAAAGGAAGAAAATTCAAAAAAAGGTGCCGCCGGGGGACGAGGAATTTCAGTGAGAAACCTAGGCCACGGCACCTGGCAGCCTTTTTTCAGTCGCCGACAG